TTTATTTTATGAAAATATTTTTCTAACATGTTCTTTTATATTTAATGTGCTTTTTAATAATTAATTTTTATAAAAAAATGAAGATTAATTTTAATTTATTAAGAATTTGTTTAACCTATCTACTAAAAGTATAGGTTAAACTTCACTGGCAAAACTCCACATATTTCCCTTCAACTTTTCAAGTGTATGGAACTTTACCCTCATCTTACAATATGTGATTTTATACCTCTTAATATTCGAGTTTATGATTTTATACCCTCCTAGTATTTGATTTTATGATTGTATACCCTCCTAAAGTTGTAAGGTGAGGGATAATGTTCCACACACTCGAATCCCAAGAGTGTATAAAATTATAAACCCAAATACCAAGAGGGTATAAACTCATATATTGTAATGTGAGGGGTAAAGTCCCACATACTCCAAAAGTTGAAGGGTATTTTGTGGGGTTTTGCCAAACTTCATTAAATGTAAAATTTTTAATTAATTTTGCACAAACTTTTATATCAAATTCTTATATTTTTACAAATTTTGATTATAAATATTATATTATATTTCAATTTTACATTTTTTTATTTTATTTTGGTTAAATCTAATATAAAAATTTATATAAATTAATTAAAGATATTATATTTAATAAAATTTTACATATATCTTAAGAGTACATATTAGAAAATTTTATTTATTAAATATACAATTAAAATCATTAACATGATATTGACTTAGAAAATAATTAATTGTTAAAAATTATGTAAATACACTATTTTATTTTATTTTATTTTGATAATAGTAGTTTTGGTGGCCCAGTGGTGAAAACTCCCAAACGTATGTTGAGGGAATGTGGTTCGAATCCCCTTGTGCAAACTTGTTGAAAAGTTTTCAAAATTTATGAACCGAATGGTTCATTGGTTCAAAAACCAATAGGTTTAATAGGTTTTTTTTTTTAGTTTTGATCGAATTTAACTCATTTTGATCGAATATTATTACAAACCAAGTTTATGTCATGATTCGAACCAATTTTATAACCGGTTTCAGTTCAACTAATCAGATTAATCGGTTCAATTCAAATTTTACAATAGTGGTATTTATAAAGATAACATGAAAAAAAAAATAGTGTTTAGATGCTCATCAAATTCTGAGTTTATTTATTATTTTACTCTAGAAGGAACCAATTACATATATATATATGTATGTATGTATGCATGTATGTATGCATGTATGTATGTATATATCTAGACACCTTAGGACTTGCCTAATGGTCCACTCACCTGAGTTTGCTCAAACATAGTCAATCCCACTCGATCACAAAAATTGCCCCCAAAGGAGGGCCAACCAATGCAAAGATATTAGCTTCAAACAATGAATATTCATAATCCAAAACAATTCTCATCCATATCACAAGCTATTAATTATACGACAAAACCAAATTGAAGATCATAAAAATACAGTCAGTCACTGGTATAGACTATAGTTTTTATCCTTATTCTACCAAAAGGACACCAACTATGCTCATCAAAGAGATCACCATCAGATACATGACCAAGTCCCATTGAAATTAAAAGCCTTATACTTCGCAAATTTATCATGAAAATCATGAATCTTGTTAAAAGTATTATCCTTGAAGCTGTAAGATATGATCTTACCTGGAATGCTAATCACCAGCTTTGGCTCTTCATTCTTGACCCCCACCTATGAAAGCACCGGGCGATGTTGGGGTATCCCCACGGGAAGAGGTCTTTGATGATCACTAATTTCAGGAAAGGCAACTGAGATGTCTTTTTCTTCTAAACTGTACTCACAAACCATCCAGAACAGTCTTTGTGCAACTGATAGACAAAAAATGTGGATAATCCTTTATCAAGAGCAATAAAATTCAAATTGCCCTGACATTCCCCAAAATATATGAGATTAGTATCACCGTTCCAATACTCGGGAAG